CTGAGGTAAAAGTAGGTGAGATTCTGCCAGAGAGGAAACAGTGCTAATTCCAACATGTGCTTCCCTCTAAATGCAAACTGCTCCATACAGCAGACCTAGAAACTGCTGCTGGGTCTGGTTTTTATGGGCTACGCTGCTTCTTCTTCTTCTGGTTTCCTACTGGTGGTTGGCTTTGGGCGCAGTAGCGCCCCCTTCTGGTCTGGAGTGTAAACGCTTCCCTCTGAGAAAAAGGAGCAGCAGGAACCGAACAAAACACACGCCAACCCAACCCAGACAGAACCCAACGGTTCAGACGGTTTTATAAACCGTCCCATCCCTAATACACACTATTATATACCAGTAGTTTGACACTGAGTTGCCTTATTTTAACTATACAGCAGAACCTCTGTTATGATGCCTGAACTTACGAATTTTCCAACATACAAAGTGAAATTCGATCAGATATTCAAAGTAGATTTCCAACATACGTTGAAGTCACTTAGAAATATATAAAAATTGAATAAAAATAAATAAGCTAAGTTAGTTTTAGGTTACCGTAATGTAAGTTAGATAAAAAAATAAGAAATATAAATTACAGATACTAAAACTAACTAGTGTAAGTGTGTGTAGGTATCCTGTGTAAAGTCAGAGTGAGTTAGGGCTGGTCCTGGTCTACCTCCGTTCTTCAGTCTCTGAGCTAAAGGGACAATAAAAACCCTTTTTATTGATTATTTCTTTATCATTTATTTCTTCTTCCATCTCTCTTCTAGAAGTCATTTGTTTTCTTGCTATGTGTAATTATCTGCAGTATTCATTAAGGAGTTATCGTAGGTTTTTGGAACCAATCCTAGGAATTACAGAGTATTCTGATGGGAAGATTTGAACCAACATACGGATATTTTAACAAAGAAGTTGGTCCAGGAACTAATTAAATTCATACGTAGAGGTTCTACTGTATCTGTAATAATAACCAGACAGTTTCTCTTATTATTCACTGACTCCATACCTCACATCCTGAGATGTTCTAGTGTATCTGTATGAATAACCAGACAGTTTCTCTTATTATTCACTGACTCCATACCTCACATCCTGAGATGTTCTACTGTATCTGTATTAATAACCAGACAGTTTCTCTTATTATTCACTGACTCCATACCTCACATCCTGAGATGGCCTGGCTGGTCTCAGCAGCAAAAAAGAGCGAGTCCACACTTGTGGGGTCCAGTTGGGACTTCAGGAACCTGCAAACGTCCTGAAACACACATTTAAAGCCAAAGAGACGTTTAGTTCCTGAAGCTCACGCTGAACCTTTTTACACCAAACACAAAACCAGGATGAGAAGGAAATTAAAGCGATTTTTTTACCTTTTTACACCAAACACAAAACGAGGATGAGAATAAAATTAAATGCATCCGCAAAGCGATTTTTTTACCTTTTTACACCAAACACAAAACCAGGATGAGAATAAAATTAAATGCATCCGCAAAGCGATTTTTTTACCTTTTTACACCAAACACAAAACCAGGATGAGAATAAAATTAGATCGATTTTTTTAACCTTTTTTACACCAAACACAAAACCAGGATGAGAATAAAATTAAAGCGATTTTTTTTTACATTTTTACACCAAACACAAAACGAGGATGAGAATAAAATTAAAGCAATTTTTTTACCTTTTTACACCAAACACAAAACCAGGATGAGAATAAAATTAAATGCATCCGCAAAGCGATTTTTTTACCTTTTTAAACCAAACACAAAACGAGGATGAGAAGGAAATTAAAGCGATTTTTTTACCTTTTTACACCAAACACAAAACGAGGATGAGAATGAAATTAAAGCGATTTTTTTACCTTTTTACACCAAACACAAAACGAGGATGAGAAGGAAATTAAAGCGATTTTTTTACCTTTTTACACCAAACACAAAACCAGGATGAGAATAAAATTAAAGCGATTTTTTTACCTTTTTTACACCAAACACAAAACGAGGATGAGAAGAAAATTAAAGCGATTTTTTTACCTTTTTACACCAAACACAAAACGAGGATGAAAAGAAAATTAAAGCGATTTTTTTACCTTTTTACACCAAACACAAAACCAGGATGAGAAAGAAATTAAAGCGATTTTTTAACCTTTTTACACCAAACACAAAACGAGGATGAGAATGAAATTAACCTCCTGAGACCCTGCGTCCTCATAAGAGGACATAGCATTTTTGCCTCTCTTTACCATGATACTTCTTTTTTCTTTCCACTTTGACCTCTTGGCCTCATAGCAGATGCTATCAGACACTCTAAAGTAAAATGGGTGCTATACATTTTCAACCAATAATGTTCTTATTGCGTAATTAAAAAATTGTTAATAAGTCATTTGGACTGTCAGAACAAAATT